GAGATGCTCTACCTGCAGCCAGTGGTCCCCTCCCATAGGTTATCCCTAGATGGTCAGTGACCAGCACCCTGCCAAGGAATCAGGAGCTCTCCCAGCCCCACATGGCACCTTAAGCTGTCCATATGTTAACTCCTGTGTCCTCACCACCTTCCAGAGTATAGTGACTGCAGTGGTCCCCATTTTACATATGGGGTACTGAGGATTCAGAAGCATCTGCCCATTTCCTCCTACAGGGATTCTCTCAGGCCTCTCTGTAGACTTTGCCCCTGCCATTTCAGGTGCCCTCCATAGACCACGTCCTGTACTGGCTACAGGGAGTCCCAGAGGCCAATTTCTCTAGCATGGTCCAGGAGGTGAGTGCCCATCTGCCCATCCAACCCTCCTCCTGGCTCCTAGAAAAAAATGGAGGGGCCTTACTTTCTCTCTTTTGGAGTGGGAATCCAGTTGAACCTTTGATTTGAGACCATACCTGTCACCTGGTGTCCCAGGCTGCAGGCTCCTGTCACCTGTCTCAGAGAAGCATGAGTCTGATGAGGGAGGAAGGGAGGTCTCAGAAGGAGGCACTAGGGCCCTGGTGGGGACTGTGGACAGCCTGGAATGATGCCCTTCAGAGCCCTCAGGGTGCAGTGGGAGAGGGCATCCTGTGAGTCAGAGCCTCTGAACCAGGCCTGGAGTTGGGGAAATGGTGAGTCAGCTGAGCAGTGGCTGGAGCAGAGCGGTACCAGGAGGACGTGGGAACTGAGGCAGATGGGATGGGAGCTGGACTTCTGGAAATGGCCGGTAGTGGCCTGTGGAGTGGGTGGGAGTGGGGAGAGGATGTCTGGGAAGGGGCCGGGGATGGAGACAGGCATCTGCAGGGAGCAATGTTTAAGGTGTCCAGTCAAGCCTGACTGAGAAAAGGAAAGCCAAGACCAAGAAAAGGGATGGCTTTAAGGCTCTACTGTTCAGTGAAATAAATCGGATACAGAAAGTTAAGTATTGCGTAGTTTCTCTTATGTGAGAAATCCAAAATATAAATAACTTAAAGGGCCAAATAAAAGAGAGATGTTAGGAAACAGGGAGGTCAATTTTGTGGCAACGGGAAGGGGATCTGGGGAAGGAGATGAGAGAAAAGAGGGGAAGGGGGTGAACGTGATCAAGTATGTGTTTAACATGCAATTATTACACACTGTGATAATGTGTACTAGTAAAATCTAGTATTGCTGGGGAACTGGGGGGAACATCCTCCCGCTGGGCCTTGGGATCCCCACACTGGGACACAGGCCCAGGGCAGGAGGCAACGCCGCCCTTGGTCTTGTAGGAGAACAACACCTTCGGCAGCCTCCCACTCCTGGTCGCCATGCAGGCGGCCAGCGTGGTCCAAGGTGAGCGTGGTCAGAGGCGAGGCCCGGGCCGGGTGGGGCCAGTGGCTGCCTAATGTGCCACCCTGAGAAGGTTGTCCCCCTGGGCTGGGCCCTCAGTGGGTGGCTCTGGGGTCCCCTAAGCCCCTGTGGCCGGCAGATCTGAAGAAGGCAGTGGTGCTGCAGCCAGAGGGTGTGAGGACCTTGGCCAGTGGCTTCCCGGGCTCTGAGGCAGCTTCCCGCTGGAGACAGGCACTGGAGCAGCTGGAAGAGCACAGCCGCCCCTACCTGCGGGACGTGCAGCGATACGAGACTTACAGGTGTCAGGAGGAAGCTGAGGGGTCGGGATGGGCTGGAGCCTCACTGCTTCCACCTGTTGCTAAGCCAAGACCCTTGGCTCCTCGGGCCTTTGTCATGGGGAGCCCTCCACCCTGCAGGAAGTACCCCGCCTGCCATCCTCCAGCCCTACCCTCCCTACAGGTGGATCGTAGGCTGCGTGCTGTGCTCCACAGCCCTCCTCGTGGTGATCTGCAACCTGCTGGGCCTCTGCCTGGGCATCCTAGGGCTGTCTGCCAGGGAGGACCCCAGCCACTGGGAGGCCAAAGGCGAGGCTGGAGCCCGCTTCCTCATGGTGTAAGAAGGGGGAGGGGGAGGGTCCCTTCTGCCACCCCCAGGACAGCAGCGGAGCCCTGAGAGACCAGAGGCCAAGCTTCAGGGCCAGCCTGGGTGGCTCTGGACAGATAGCTAACCCACCTGGCCTCAGTGTCCTCATCTGTGCAAGGGGATTGGACTAGAGCAGGAACAGCAAATAAATACCCACCCCCGCATGCAACTGTAGTACTGAACGGGCACGCTCTCCCACTGAATCCAACACAGCCTCAGAATCCCTCTAAACCTAGCTTCCAGGCAGCACCAACAACAACAAGAGCCAGCAGCAGAAGTGGAATCTGTTGCCTTCCATAGACCAGGTGGTCTCTGAAGCCAAGACTGCCTCATACAGATGTGCAGGTTGTTCACTACACAAAAGTCCCTGGCCACAGGGGACTGTGGGGGGGCTGAAATGCACCCATGTTTCACTCTCTGATCCTCGTGGCCTGGCACAGGGCTGTGCCCACCTCACAAGGAAGCTCTATAGGTCTGCGGCACCTAGACTATGGGTTCTTGCTGTTCAGCCCTATTGGGTGCTGTCCTGCCAGTGGGTCACTCCTGGCTGTGCCTGTTCACCTTTTGAAGGTCACCTCCGTGGACACTAGAGCCAGCAGCAGGTAGTCCTGGCTCTTCAGATAAAACAGCTGTCCCCTCCTCTAGGCCACAGGGCCCCAGCAGCAGGTGGGGATGAGGAGGTGGCTGGGGTTCCAACCCCACCTTCCTGGGAGGCCCAGTTCTCTGAGTTCCTCTTCCCAAAGACACTGCCCTACAGCCCAACCTCTGGGCTCCCAGAGCTAGCCTGGGGTGCGTGTGACAGAGTACAGCCAGTCTCCCCAGCTCACCCCATCTCTTCCCCCAGGGGTGTGGGCTTCAGCTTCCTCTTTGCTGCCCCCCTCATCCTCCTCGTCTTTGCCACCTTCCTGGTGGGCGGTAACATGCAGACGCTGGTGTGCCGGAGCTGGGAGAGCGGGGAGCTCTATGAGGTGGGGACGTCCCCTGGGCAGCCTGTCCCTGCGGGAGTGGGGTGGGGGGTTGGCGGGCAGGAGTGAGACTGAAGCCACTAGAGAGGAGCTGTGAGTCCTGGTGCTGCACAGGCCTCAGACAGGACCCCGCATGTTTGCACCCATACCCTCTGCTCTCCTAACCCTGACTGAGTCTGGGACTGGGAGCCCTGGTGTGGGTGAGCAGAGATGCCAAAATGGCTTCTCACTGGGATTGGGCCAGCCACCCTCCTAGGGACATGTGGGAACCATCCCATGAGCAGGTGGTGCCAGGGCAGTTTGAGTTCAAGGCCTGGTCTGAGCAGAATTGCAGGGGCACCTCCCACCCTGTCTCTGCATTGTCAGAAGCCCTGGGGAAGCTGGGGCAGCCTTGTCCCCACCCTGCTCTGCACCTCATGGCTCCTTCCTCATCCCCAGTTCGCAGACACCCCAGGGAACCTGCCCCACTCCATGAACCTGTCCCACCTCCTCGGCCTGAGGAAGAACATCAGCATCCTCCTGGCCTATCAGTGAGTGGGCAGCCTGAACAGAGGCCTGGCAGGGACAGAGATGGACAGCCCATTAGGTTGACATCAGCCACCCTCCATGTTTGTCTCTCCACTCCAGGCAGTGCAAGAAAGGGGCTGCACTCTGGAAGGTCCTGCAGCTCAATGACTCCTATGACCTGGACAAGCACCTGGACATCAGCCAGGTAAGAGAACATTCTGGAAGCCATGAGGCTCCTCCTGCTGAGCTCTGGGAATGATGGCTGTGCCTCAGGGCAGAGCCTAGGGCTACAGCAGGATGTCTCTGGTTGTGAGTACCTGGAGGCTATGGCCCTTATGCTCCAGGGACAGCCTCACAGCTGAGCTGCAAGGAGGGTGACAGTGAGAAGTGGCTGAGGGCATGTGTCCTGCCTGAGGACAGGTGCTGACCACATGTTCCTGTCGGGACAGACCAGATGGAAACATGGTGGAGCTCACTGGGGCCCTTGCCAAGCTCTCACAGCCAGGAGGTGGCAGGAGTAGTGGGATCCTACTCCCAACTGGACCCCAGAACTCCACTGGGACTTGGGTTGTTCAACTGCTGTGGGTGGCAGGAGCTTGGGCCTCAGTGCAGAGAAAGTTCTAGAACAAGGAAGGGCTACCTCATAGCAGGGATATGCTTTGAGAATGTGCTGAAAGTCTACAGAAGCTGCAAAAAATCCCCTCCTCTCCTCTCCACACTACATGAGGTGGGAGCCATTTCCAAGGAAAATCCACACCCTGTCCCTGCCTCTCTCCTAACACCCAGGGGGCCACCAACTGATTTTGCTCCATCCAGAGAAACCCTCCCAGCTCCTCTTGGAGCCACTACCCTTTTGTCCCACAGGGTAGTACAGCCGGATGGCCCAGTCCCAACTCCATGCCTCAAGTTGCACCAGGGACAGCTAATGCCTCAGGCCCCTGCTCCTCTGGCGTCTTTAGCCTGTCAGAAGGCTGCTGGAGCAGGCAGCATTGTCATGTCCCTGGTGGATGAAGGTAGCCAGGGAGGGCTGCAGCGGGGTCCTCGGCACAGCAGACTTCATGCCTGTCACCTGGAAGTCGTGGCTCTCAGACAAAAGGGTCCTGGGAGGGGAAGGGCCAAGCTCTCAGAGAAAACTGGATGGATAAGGTCTCAGCTTCAGGTGGGCTGGGCAGTCCTCAGAGGCCCATCTGGTAACTTTCCAAGTGTGACCTCAGGAATACCTGTCCCCAAAGGAGATAGCAACAAACTGGTTGTGCACCGGCCACTAGGATGGCACTGATCTCTGCACTCATCTGCCACACCTGGCACCTGGAGCCCAGAATGGCTGTTTGTGAGAGGCTGAGGGCTTTTCTCCCCAGGGAAGGCAACCACAGGGTAGAGGGAGGTGGACTGCATCCTCTAACTTGCTGCGCATCCTCTGGCAAGTGAATGCTCCTCTCTGGTCTTAGTTTCTCAACTGCAAAACATTGAGGCTGAATTTTATGATCCCTAAATCTCTTGCAGCAATGGTAGGAGAATGCCAAGGGTCTTTTTTGGAACTATGATAGCATCTGTTAATTCATTCATTCACTCATTGACACAGTCTACAAACTTGTACCTCACCCACCAGATGAGCCTCCTCTAAATGCTGAGGGTTGGGCCGAATGGGCAAGCAATATTGCACTGTCAAGGAGCTGCTGGTGATTACTCAGTGCACAAAGAAGTAAATTGGGGTTGGAGAGAGAACTCCAGGGCTGACTATGAAGGTGCTAGGAAAACCTGCACACAAGAGTGTGATAGAGGAACCAGGAGAGCTGTTTCATGTCAGGTGGCCAGGAGGCATCTGTGTGACAGCCCAGTGGCCAGATAGGTGCTGGAAGAAGACTGGTCTTGGGTTGGGGGTCACTAGGAGCCTGCTGGAAACCTTCCAGGATGCTGTATGTAGGGAGCTCTGGGGACCCCTCATGTAGTAGAATGTCTGTGGGCTTTGGATCAACAACTGGGAATGCCCTTCCCGTTTGCCCTCCCACCCAGTATACCAAGAAGCTGCAGTGGGACCTGCAGAGCTTCCAAGTGGACATGAAGGACCCAGACCTGCTGAGCCCAGAGGCCCGCCGGGACCTGGAGGCACTGCAGACAAGTGGGGTGGAGAGCATCCCCTATCGCGACTTCCTTGTTCAGGTCAGCAGAGAAACCTGGGTGGCCAGGAAGGGTGGGGACAGTACAGAGGAGCTGGGCATGGGCCTTGCCTTGTCCGAGCACTTAACCTTCGCTCCTGGGAACTCTTCTTGTCCAGAGTGTCACCAGACCACAGCCCTGCTTCCCTCTCCCCAAATCCAACAGTGCGTGTCGCTGTTCGTGGTCCTGAACCAATTGCTGCCCGAACGCTGGTGGCACGCGCCTCTTCCTTGCACTGCACCAGGGGGCGCCTGTCTTTTGGTTGTTTTTTGGAAAGATGTCTGAAGTATTTTGCAGCACCAGGTCAAATCCACTGTGACTGATGTGGCACAGCACACTTAGCTGGTGCAGTGTGTGCTTGGCAAGATTGGGAATTTGGAGGCCTCAAGGGGCACAGGGTGCAGCTCTGCTGACCTCGCCCATCCGCTCTCAGATCCAGAAGCCCGTGGTGAAGATAGATGTGGAGCAGCTGGCCCAGGACCTGGCAGGACTGGCCCAGGCCCAGGTGGGAAGGACCAGGGACACTGCAGGGCAGGTAGCAGTCAGATGAAGGTGGAGGCTGGGGGGCTGGGGAGCTGGGACTGGGGAGGGTGTGGGCAGAGTCAGGGGACCAGGACCCCTGCTGGTGAGGGCTAAGGCTCCTGAATCCCAGCTGTGCTGCAGGGTTTTGCCACATCAGTTCTGATTCAAGACTGCCATTTGGCTGGGCTGCCTCAGGCAAGTCACTAAGTATCTCTGGGCCTCCATTTTGTCATCTGTAAAATGGCTTCTCCATCCCAGATCACCTCAAGGGACTGGTCTTATGTCATGTGGCTGGGTAAGCAGTATGTGCACACCAGCTGTAGAACCTGCACATTTCGATGGATCACATATGACAGCTGTCTCACAGGGGAGGAACTGCATTTCACACTTACAAATGACCAGAGTTTGGAAAGTTATCTTTGAGGCATCCTGGAAAGCCCACTACAGCCCTTCCTCAGCCTCAGCAGATGCAGCCATGGATTCCTTTTGCTTCTGTTGCTGACTGAGGGGGCAGACCTAGAATCTAGGCTTGGATTGGTGCTTGAGGAGACTTCAATTTTCTGCCTCTTAGCTTAGCACTGTCCACTTTCCCTCAGTACGTGCAACCAAAAGTTCCCCTATCCCTGTTGGGGATGGGGGCCATTCTGATCCTTGTCTGCCCTCAGGGCAATTCTTTGCTGGGGCAACAGCTACAGGAAGAGGCCAGAGGGCTCAGAAACCTCTCCCAGGAGCAGGTCATGCCCCAGCAGAACCTGGTGGTAAGTTTCAGGGCTCAGTGAGCCTGAGGCTTGGGAGAGAGGACAAAGAATGAGGGAGCTGCTCCACTCACTCTCCGTCCCTCCCCCTAACTACCCTGTATCTCCACTCATAGGCCAAGCTCAACCTCAGCGTCAGAGCCCTGGAGTTCTCTGCTCCAAACCTCCAGGTGGCTGCTGGGGTGGGGACAGTGGGGTGGAACAGGTGGGCAGCAGAGGGAGAAAGGAAGTGGGGACTCAGCTGGCTATGAGCCTCACAGGCTGTGCCCCATCCCACTAGTGACTGAGGGTGGGGATGGGAAGGAGATGGGGCTGAGTGGGCAGATCCTTCAGGACCATGGATCTTTGGCACTAGGTCCTGTGAGGCCAGCTTGGTGTGTGTCATATGCTGGGTGGATAAGTGGACAGATGGTGGATGATGCGTGGGTGGATGGATGGATGGATGGATGATTGGTGGGTAAATGAGTGGCTGCTCCCCAAGCAGGACACTGAGATAGGGCTCTTGTCTCCTGCAGAGGGAGACCTCAGCTATCCTAGGCAATGTCACCTACCTAAAAGCAGAGCTGCCGCCATTGACCAACCGCATCCTGCAGAATGTGAGTGGCAGGGGGGTGGTAGGGGCTGCTGTAAAACCAGGGAGACATGGGACCTCTGCCACAGGCCTCTTTAGCCCTTCCCTCACAGTGAGTCCCTGAAAGCCAGCCTGGCCTAATGGCATCAGGCATTGGGGGGGGAGTAGTGAAGAGGGGTGCTGGGACCCCTGCCAGCTCAGGTCTTCTCTTTCTCCTGCAGGCAAGTGAGTGTTTCTTGGCCCGGGAGATAGGCTACTTCTCTCAGTATGTGGCCTGGGTGAAAGAGGAGGTGAGTAGGGATGCAGACCCTGACTGACCTCGGGCAACTATGGATTACCCACCTTGTGGTCACCCTACTCTGCCCCATTCTGTTGCCTGGGCCTTCTAGGGGTGCCCAGGCCTTCAGAATTGAAGCCAAACTCCCACACCTGGCATCTGTGCCCTGTCCCTGCCCAGCCCCTCCCTGAGGCCTGAGTGTGAGCTAGGTTGGCCATGGCTCTCCTGAATATGCCATCCTTGCATTGTCCCCACCAGTTTCTGTGGGTTGGCCCCCTGTCCAACTTATCCTCTCCTGAGGGTCCCAACTGTCTGCAAATCTTCCAGCTACCTGGGCCACCCCTAGGCTCACAGGGGTCTGACTTAGAGTGTCAGTGCGTGTGTGTGTGTGTGTGTGTGTGTGTGTGCCAAGTGCTTGAGGACGTGCACACATGCACACATACATGTTACCTCTCCAGTGCATGGGATACACAGTAGGGCCCTAATTCAGGTGGCAAATAGATGTGGGGGGCAGGAACAGATGAGAAGCCCAGGTGTGCTCCCTCTTCCCATGTGCCTGTGTCCATGTGTCTCCATGAACCTGTCCAATGTGTGGTGGCCCCCAGCTGTGTCTGCCAATCTCTCTCTCAGAATACGGGGTGCACACTTGTGTCTGGGTGTCCCCACATATACCTACCTCCTGTTGGCACCACAGGTGACCCAGCACATCGCCACCTGCCAGCCTTTCTCTGGAGCCCTGGACAATGGCCGTGCAATCCTGTGTGACATGATGGCTGACCCCTGGGTGAGTGTCATTGGTTCTGATGACTGCTTCCGTGCCCCACACTGAGTCTGAGGTGGAGGCTGCTGGCACAGGGCAGGGAAGGGGCCGCTGTCTGGCCAGGTGTGCTGACCTCACACCCCTTCCAGAATGCCTTCTGGTTCTGCCTGGGCTGGTGCACCTTCTTCCTCATCCCCAGCATCATCTTTGCTGTCAAAACCTCCAAGTACTTCCGCCCTATCCGGAAACGCCTCAGGTGAGGGGCTGCCAGGACCAGGGGACATCGGAAGCCCGGAAAGGAGTCTATCCCCTCCATACCCTGTCCTGAAACTTCCACGCCAGAGAAGACTTCTGGCAAAGCCCTGGAGAGGCACATTCTCTGGGCTGGAATTGTGCTATGTGTCTGCTCTGTTTCCTTGCTGAGATACATCCGCCCAGGCACAGCTTCTCGGACTCCTCCTTGGGTTTGTCCCCAGGATGGGCTGAGGTCTGTTCTAGGGACTCATCTTCACTCTGTGATGCTCCAGCTCCACCAGCTCTGAGGAGACTCAGCTCTTCCACATCCCCCGGGTGACCTCCCTGAAGCTGTAGGATCCATGGGTGAGATCATCCCTCTCCCCACGGTCACAGTGCCTCAAGGCTGGGGATTGAGGCAGGGGGATAAGAAGGATCCGGGTGTGGCCTATACAACAGGGGGCTGACAGGCCAGGCACCACCCCCTGATTTGTTTTCTTCTTAATCCACAGCAAGGCAAGGTGATCCCTGGGGCTGCCTTTCTCCTCCACTCAGCTGGGACCAGAGAAGACTTCAGAAACCTTGTCACAGAGCCCAAGCTGGGGCAACACCTGGACTGTCACTCAGTCCAACTGATCCACCCTTGCTTGTTCCCTTTCCACCTTCTTGCTCCTAACCCCTTCATTCATTCACACTTCTGAGCTGCAGGTCAACGGTTGCTCTTGGGGCCCTGCCCTCACCCTCTTGGCTGCCCTGTACTGGCCCCAAGAAGGGCCTGTTCTCTCCCTGCCAGGACCCCTTCTGCAACCCCTTGCTCTGCTCCCCTCTAAGCTCTGTGCACCTTGTCCCCATTTGGCCTCTTTCCTTCCTCCCTCCAAGGAAGTTCTTGCTTCCTGTCTTCTCTTTTTACCTCACCCCCACTGCTACCTTGCTGCTACTCCAGGGACCCCTCCTGCCCAATCAGCTCATCAGATGAACCCACCAAGCAGGCCTGGGCCTGGACTGGGCTGGATTCTGACTGCCTCGTGGCCCCAAGTCCTCCACTGCCCCAGGGCTTGGGACCCCTGCAGGCACCATCCTGGGCTTTCTGGCCCTCAGTGGGGAGGAGGAGACTGTCTGAGGGCTGAGGCCCCTGCTTACACCAAAAGTCACAAATAGTAATGCTGTCCCCAGGTCCTCTCTGGACACCATTCCTGAGGAGGGACTGGAACCTGAGCTACACTGGGATTGCACCCTGGGCTCCTCAGAAGGCTCCTTGCCTCCCTAAGCTTTGGGGTCCTTGAAGCCAGGTCACCAGGATTAGGGCTCTGTACATAGTTGGTGTTTAGTGCATGTTGGTGCAGGTGTCCAGGGGCTCCTCCAGATACCTGCAGATGGGAGCAGCACCCGTCTGGGAGGTTCCTGACGGGAGCGGGCAGACCTGGGTTCACAGCCTGCCTCTGAAGCTGCTAGCTGGATGCCTTGAACCTGTTACCCAGGTCCCCTAAACCCAGCCTCTCCTTTTATAAGAGAATAACTAGAACCCCAATGTTGGGCTGTGAAAATTAAATATAACAAGTGAGAAGCCTTTGGCAGGGAACAAGGGTGCCATAAGTAAATGGGAGCTGCTATTTTGTGCCATGCCTGCAACCAGCCAAGGCAGAGCCAGGGTCCACGCAGATGCAAGGGAAAGGGGAGGTTGCCCTGTTCAAAGGCCAAAGCCTTGATGATGGTCACTTTGAAGAGGGTGCAGGTTGAGGGAGCCTTGTTATAAACCAGCAACACATCTGCTGCTGGGAATTAGGATGGTAAGCTCAGGATATGTCCTCACTATTGCCAGCACATTCTCATACAGGTACCCTTGAAAGTCACACAGGAGCCTCTTTTTGGTTTTACCCAGAGTTTGGTTTTTTTTGGTTTTGCTTGTTACTCATCTATCAGCTTGGGAAGAGGTGGTAGCACCCTGTATACTAAAATGCATTTGGTGAGATGCAAACACATGAAATAGAAATAATTTAAAAATATGTTTGGTTCTCTCTCTGAATTGCCTCTTATTTTTAAATATATTTGAACACATTAGGCATAGTATTTTATCTTATTTGTCTTATTATTTTATTGTGGTTCAGGAGACTGGACCCAGGCCTCCATACACCCTAGGCAAATGCTGTACCACAGACTTATATCTTGCAGCGTAGTTATTTTAAAGTTCAGTAATTCCCTTTGAGCCCCCATGAGTCTATATCTAGCACTGCTTGTTCATGAATTTTGTCTTTTTCTTCTCATATCCTTGGAGGTTTTGATTGCATGTGGGAAACCATCTGAAAATTTATAGAAACAATCTGCAGGAAGGAAGTTATTTTCCTCCACAAGGATTATGTTTACATCTTGCAGGTGGTGTGAGACCTAGCAAGCAGGATCAGTTTAAAACACTTGCAGGGAATGAGCTGACTTGAGAGCCTTAGAGGGCTGATGTACTTCCAGTCCATTTGCATTCCCAGGGTGAGGACCCCTGGGACCCAACCTAAAGCATAGAAGGTTTGCCAGGTACACCTTCCTCTTGGTAGTCCTGGGTATTAGTCCTAGAGGTTGTTAAAAGCCCTGCTCAACTTCATTGCAATATCCAAGATCAACAGAACCCCCCGGGGAGAAAGTCACCCCAGATGCCAGGCACATGTCCCTGAATGGCCTTCTTTTCCCAGATCTTGACTCTGTGTGTGTGTGTGTGTGTGTGTGTGTGTGTGTGTGTGTGTGTGTGTGTGTGTGTGTGTGTGTGTGTGTGTGTGTGTGTGTGTGTGTTTAATTAACAGATACATGAACACAGAACCTATGTTGAGCAGCTTTTACAGTTGTGTTCAGCTGGGAATTTGATCCAAATTACCTAGTTCGCCATTATCAGAAGTAGTGGTCATAAAGATTGACTTTACTGTCCCTCCTGTGAATCGGGAAGTGGTTGCTACTCTGAGTTTAGCATCCAGAAACGTTGGCACAGCACAATGAATACTGGCTTTGCCAAGGAGCTTCACTGCTGTAGGTGCTGGTCATCCCAGGATGGGGGTGGCACTAGGCAGAGACAGAAATAGCCATAGAGAAAACAAGCTCACCTGTTTCCTGGGGCTTGGAATATTGGGCTCCTCCAATATTAACAAATGGGAAACAGCCCCTTTGTGGTTGCAGTCTTGCCTGTCACATCTCTGAAGGAATTGGTTTATTTGCTCTATGGTAGATCTGATGAAGCTACTGGAAGTTGCCTAGCAGGCTCAAGGTTACCTCAGTTGGATTCAGGTCCTGGGTTCTAGCCCTGGAGATTTCCTCCTGGATGAGATTCCAATCTCTATTCCCTGTGGGCATGTGAGAGGGGAGATTTGACCAGATGCCCTTGCTGTCCCTGTGGCAGGAAGGATGACAGTTTGGAGGCTCTGGGAGTTCTGCCAGATGTTCCACCTGGCCACCCAGTGCAAGGCCCTGTGGCAGGTTCTACCAGGAAAACCCAGGCTAGGGCATCTGAGGTCCCAGGTGGGTGGGCAGGGTGACTCTGGCTGGCTGGACTGCACAGGGAGGGCACATGGCAGGGGTTTGAAGAGCATGAGTTAACATTGATGTATATATAGAGCTATGGCATAAACCAGGAAGTCTGCCAAGCCCTTTACATGTGTTAATGAAGAGCTAAGCACTGCTGTCACCTGCCTGAGAAAACTAGCACACAAGTCCTACAATGGGCTGAGTAGAAGGGCAGTACTAACCCCAAGGGGTCCATGGGGACAGTGACAGTCCACACCATACCTGAACTCTGGTCCAGCCTGACACCCTGCTCAAGTGACTGTGGACAGTGTCCTTTCCCACCTTCCCAGAGCCTGAATGCCAGAGACTCCCTGGGAGGCTGGTGGCCAGCCTAGTCCACCCACCATTTGCCTCGAACATGAAGTCCCTTCTCTGTGGTACCCATCCTTCCTTGATGGTCCTGGATGTGCCAGGCTGAAGCCCTTTACATTCCTCCATCTTACGATTGCTAACTGAGTGTCACAGTCCTGGGTGAAGGGGGTGAGTCGAGGTGCGTGCAGGGAGGTAACCCCACCCCACCTTGGCCTCTGCCTATTGGTGATGCAGGATTTAGGGACCCTCACACATTTAGAGGAAGGGGATTCAGGCAGGTGAGCTGGAGAGTGTCTCCCTCCACTGCCAACCAGAGCAAAGGGGGCTTTTCTGAGAGCTTCCTTGGATGCCCTTCGATTTGGGAGATCCTGTGCATGGATGCCTTGTGCCCCTTCCTCCTACAAAGCCTAGAGTGTAAGGGAGACACCTGCTTTGGTGGCAGAGCTAAGGGAGGCCCAAAGGCCAAGATGAGACCTCCTTTGGGAGTTGGCATGGAATCTCTTGGAGCCAGTTCTAGGAGGCCACTCAGTGAGGGAACAGACCTCAACCAAGAGACCATGGACCAGTTACGGGGTATTGGGAGTGCCTTAGTTCCTCCAAGAGCCGTATGAAATACCCTAACCAGAGGGACAGGACAGGGGGTGGCCCCCAGCAACAACTGGACTCAGAGGACCCTTGGAGGTGCCCAATGGAGAAGGAGGTAGAGCTTTCAGCCCTCAACTGGGGCTTACCCTGTGCCCTGCCCAGCAGCTGGCTCCCACCCACCAGGCCGAGCAGGACACAGAGTGGAAGAGGTGACTGTAGGGGGCTTGGAGTGGAGCTGACTGCTGTGTGACATTGGGGAAAAGTGTCCTGGGCTGGGAGGTTTCTCAGGCTGTGGCAGAGCTGGTGGGCAGGTGGGCTGGGAGCTTGAGGCTGTCAGAAGGTGCCCTGAAAGCTGCCACAGGTGACCAGCTTCACAGCTGTACCATCTGCTTCCCTGACACTTGTGAGATTTGTGACACCCAGATGAAGGCTTTGGTGGGCAACAGATATTTTTGGAAGGCTCCATGTGTATGGTGAGCCACACCTCCACCTGAGGGGCCTCCCCATGGGTAGGGGGTTGTGGGGGAAGCAAGGGGCTCTCTCTGTCTCTCTGTATGTTTCTGTCTCTGTCTCTATCTCTCTGAATCTGTTCTTTCTGTGTCTATGTATGTGTCTGTGTCTCTATCTCTGTCTCTCCCAGAGAAAGAAAGAGCTCCAAAGAACAGAAACAGGGCTGGGAACACAGAGCTGGGGCTGGGGGCCTGGGGAAAAGGGATTTGAACTTGGCCTGGAGTGGAAGGCCAGGAGCAGGAAGGGAAGAAAGTCCCAAAGACCCCAAGTCTTGTAGGTGGGGGTGGCAGAGCCCAGTTTGAAGCCACACCTCCCTTTTCCACTCCAGACTCCTGGCCTTCAGAGCTGGCCTTGTGAGGAAAGCCACAGCTGAGACCCATCAGGCTGAAGCAGTTGTGTTTAACCACACATCCTCCTGCAGCCTCCTTCCTTGACCTTTTTTGGGTCCAACATGCCTCAAAAGAATCTTCCGAAATGCCAAGTCCCTCTTGGGGAAGGCTGGCCGATGCCCAGGCGCCCACAACACAGTTGCTGAGGAGGCCCACTGCAGAGCTCGCTTGGGCCTTTCTCCTCCCTGTGTCCCCCAAAGGCCTGGAGCCCTGGTAAGACCCTGAGAGAGAGGCCCAGGGAGGAGGGGTGGGTGGCACAAGGATCCTGGCACAGCACCCACCTGAGTACAGGGCAAGCTTCCCAAGGCCAAAAGCCTGGTGACCCAGCAGGGGCGAGCAGACATCACAGACCTGTTCTTTGAAGCTTGTTTATCCCAAGGAAAGCCCCTCAGAGGAGTGGCATTTCAGCAAGTGATTGTTCAGAGGGATGCTGGCCTGGGGTAGGCAGCTCTGGTCCTGCCTCAGTGGGCTGTGCCCTGATTCTGGCCAGGCCTGCCCTGACCCACGTGATCAGCAGTTGTCCCAGTTGATGCATGAGACCTGGGCATATACCTGGTCAGGTACATCTTGCCCAATGTGTCCACTTTGGTTGGCAGGAACACCCATGTACAGCTTCATTACCTTGCCTATGACTTGGGCAGCTCCTTTAACTTTCTGGGTCTCCCCATCCTTGTGGAATGAGACAATGAGGCTTTTCTCTGAAGGGCACCATGAAGACTCAGAATGCTCCACATGTCCCTGCTTGCAAAAGCTTGTTCTGAGCCAAGGGAGGCGGGCTTTTCCCCTCTGTGAAAGGTCAATGGGCTTCCAGGGACCAAAGATCTGATCTGACAGCTACATGGGGTTTGCTCTCCCTTCTTTCTGGGTGTAGCTGTGGATGGGGAGTCAGGGTCTGCTGAACCCTTTGTTCTGTGTGAGGCCGTGGCTGTCCTGAAGTCCTGCTTACCGGACACTGGGGCTGTCCCCTCCCTTCTGGGGTCTGGACTCAGTGGGTCCACAGCTCCTGGCAGCTTTCTTCCCTCAGGATCTGAAAGCTGGGGGTGGGGAAGCCATTCAGGAGCTTTGTGCACACTGAAAAGGAGGGGGCTATCTCAGGCTCTGTTTCCATGGGAACTGCTGGCTCCTCAGTGCACCAAAAAGGGAAACTTGGCAGAGGTTTCAGGCACCTGGCTTCTGGGTGGCTTTCATATGGGCCAAAAAGGTGCTCTTGAGGGGCAGGGAGAACCCCCTCTCCCAGGGACACCAGGGGCCAACTCAGGAGATGGCGGGGGAGGGATCCCGCAGCTGCCCTGAATGCAGTCCCAGTCTCGGAGCCAGGCAGGAATGATGGCACTTGGGAAGTATAATGGGCTTTTGCTTTTTTTGCGGGGCGGGGGAATCCTGTACTGTGTCAGGGAGGTGATTAAGGGTGGGGAGACTGAGGCAAAAGGATCACAAGTTCGAGCCCAGCTTGGGCAATTTAGTGACTTGGTGACACAGTGTCTCAAAATAAAAAATTAATAAAAGGACTCGGAATGTAGTTCAGTGCAAAGGCCCTGGGTTCAACCCCCAGTGTGGGGGTAGGGAGGGGAGGGACAGATAAAAGAGGTGGAGGATCCCTGAGTGTCACCCTGATGATGTAGCCCCTGTGGTCATCACTCTTTCCACCATCTACAAAGCCATTGCAGACCTGACCTGGGGCTGAGATCCCTGAGCAGAGGATGCTATAGATGCCAGAGCTGGCATCTCAACCTTACTGGCTGGGCATTGCCCTGGGGCCCCTCAGGTACCCGAGGCCACACAATCTGGAATCCAGAGGATGGTCCTGTGCTCAGGGAGGGGCCGGCCCAGTCTGGGGTCTGGAAGATGCCCCCGGAACCCGTGGGGCTCTACTGCTGCCCCTGCCCCTTGTCCAGGTTGCAACTCCAGTCTGGACCTCCCCTCTCCCCAGCCCCGCCTCCTGCCACCCCACCCCATTGGCCAAGAAGTCGGGGAGCAGCTTGTGAGTTAGAGAGGGGAGAGAGAGAGACTGCAGGGGCACAGAAAGACAAGGGCAGGGGGACCCGGGAGAGCCAGGCAAGACTGGGGTTGCTACGGGGCCAGGACTGGAAGGCAGAGACAGCAGGGGAGGGTGCCTCGTCTTTGTGTGTGTGAGTGTGTGTGTGTGTGTGTGTGTGTGTGTGTGTGTGTGGAGAGCGAGAGGAGGAGGAGAAAGAGTGAGGGTGGAGCAGTGAGAGCTGGCGGCGGCCAGGAGGGAGGGTGGAAGGAGTGGGCGGGGCCTGGAGAAGCCACCAGTGACAATTACATCTGGTCCAAGCAAACATGAGGCAGCTTCCAGCAGGGCTGGGCAGTCCTGTCCGCTCGAGCTGTGAAGTGGAGACATTGACCACAGTTCTGAGCTGCCCCCAGGATGCAGCGGGCAAAGGTAAGCACAGGCGATTGGGTGAGCGGGCACTGGCCTGGGGACAGAGAGAAGAGGGGCTTTGGAAGTGGCTCTAGACCAGGAGCTGCCTGGCCACTGTCATTTCTGTGGTGCCTCCTTCTTTGACCCCATCTCCTGCTGCTCCCTACTAGGTGGCTTTGGGGACAGTGAGTGTTGGAATGTCCTGGCAGGAAGCTAGACTCCTGGGAGTCTCTGGATGGAAGAGGCTTTAGGTGTGCATGGAAGGCGAGCTGGAGAGAGGAGCAGGAGTTCAGCTCCGTGGTGCCTGCTCAATCAGCCCCTGGGGCAGGGACTGGGCCCCCAGCCCTGAGGATTGGGGAAGGGGTGCACTGAGAGGGGGCATCTTGGGCCTGATGCTCAGCCAATGAAGGCATCTTGCAGTCAATCACCCAAGTGATGGAGGAGCCCCTGTCTACTAAAAGAGCCAGAAGACTCCTAAGTTCTCCCTCTGAGGGCTATTGGGAGGCTGAAGCGGGGAGGCAGGAAAACTGCCCCAGCAGCATTCAAGAACAGCAGTGGGTGAGAGACAGGAGGAAGAACAAGGGCAAAAAAGAAAAAGAAAGAAAGAAAGAAACTCCTCTCTGAGAAGCTGGCCTGATTCCCTGTGAGCTACTCACATGTCCGGGACAATCTTGCTTTGAGAGAAGGAAGAAGCACCAGGATCCAGTGCTCATAACAGAGCACCCTGAGTCACGGTGGTTGGACAAGGGTGGTTGTATCTTCCCCTGCAGAAGTCCAGAGGGAGGCATGGAGGACTCAGCCTCTCACCGCCTTAGTACTGGCTTCCATCCTTGAGCTTACCTTAGGGCCCAACAGGGCTGCTAAGGTCCAGCCAGCACATGCAGGCAGCAGAAGAGAGAAGAAAGGGCACAGGACCCGAATAAAATCAGGGTCTTGGGAGTAAGGACAGATATTGTGCTGGCATTTCAATTTCTCCTCCTTAGAAATAGCTTCCTGCCTCTAACCCTAGGTCAAGCAGCCAGAGAGGGCTTGTGGCTGGCTTCTGTGTCCCACAGCCTGGCCACTGGTTTCCCAGGGATGCCAGAAGGAACAGCAGAGCTGGTGACCTGTAGCTCTTTGAGCTTGGAGTCAGGGCGTGTTGAAGGAGCTTTATCTCCTGTCACCTCAAGTCTCCCAGGCAGGCAGGAGAGAAGCAAAGAAACTTAGCGCTTTGTCCCAGGTCCGTGCTACATGCTCACTGCACCCATGCCAGGCATGGCACAGGCCACTGCATCCACAGGCACAGTCGTGAGCATGGGCCACATCACCATGCTCCGTGAACAACCTGCAACAGTGCCCATCAGTGCAGAGAACAGTCCCTCTTCCCTCTCCTCTCCTCCAGGTGCTGGTGGCCTGGTGGCTCTTGCCATCTTTATGCCCCCACCTCTGTGGTCTGCCTGTGTCTGGCCTTGCCAGGGACAAAGAGGATCCCACACTCCCGGCGCTGGGCCAGACAGGGACAGTGGTCCTAGGGGAAGCACCCACTCGTCCCCGTTAAGAAATACAATCTTGTCCCTAGTGGCAGCAGGGACTATAGTCAGCACAGGCTGGGAGTGGGGCCCAGTCGCCACCATCATTGTTGCGATCAGCAGCTGTCCCTAGCACCACCCTGGGCCCTCTCCTGTCCTCCCAGCCCATCAGTGCTCCTCACCCCACCCTGCTGGTAGGCACTTCCATCCTAGCCTCTGATCAGCGGGGGGCAGGTCACAGCTGGTCACAGTACCAGGCCTCCCTGAGCTTGTGCTCCAAGAGTCCTTAGGAAAAGGACTCCCAGCTCTGCTGTGGTGGGCATGGATCATGGTCCTAGGACTTCCAGGGTGATGTTTCCACTGCCCAGCCTGGTGCCCAGAACCTCTCCTACAGCTTCCAGCCCAGCAGGATACTTGCAGGAGACATGTCCTAATTTGTTCCCCCCCCTCCCTTTCTCAGACAGCATCAGAGAGCCCCCCTGGGGTAGGAAGGGAGTGCCCCTGCTCTCCAGCCGGTGTCTGGGAGAGAGGCAGGGCTGACATCTGAGAGCCTGAAGTGCCCTCCATTATCCTCTGTATTATCTCCTGGCCCTCACACAGCCAGGTGTGAGGTAGCTCTCGTGACTGTCCCCACTTTACAGATGAGTACGCAGAGGCCTGGCCAAGATTGCAAAGGACAGCGTTGTTACTGGGATTTGAACCCTGCTCTGTCTTGCTCCAAAGCTCAGGTCCTGGACAACAGGTGGAAGAGGACAATCTTTGTCTGGAAGCTAAGGAGGTGGCCCATTGTACCTTGGAGCCTGCTAGTGAGGACATAAGCTGTGTCCCCTGCATCAGCCACACCACCATAAGCCAGTGACTTCCCCTTTCTGGGCTGCAGATCTAAAGTATGAAGGAGAGGCTTTAAATTCAGGCTCTCTTTCTTATCAATTTCCCACAAAAGCAAAGCCCTCCTTTGCTGACTTGGCCTGGGGCTGGGACCCTCCTGTCCCCAACCCTGGCCTCTGTGGGGATTCCCAGGAGGAGGGTCCCACATACAGCCTGTGTGAGGGAGAAGGGCACCCTTGGCTCCCAACGCCTGGAGACAGCGGCTGCCTTGCTGGTGCCCAGAGAGAGAGCCAGAAGTGGTTGAGTCACTGAGGCCCCCAGCCCTGAGTCCCTCCAGCTAGTGTTCCCCTGGAGCAGGTGCAGCTGTCAGCTGTGAGCAGTCCACTCCTAGAATACCACAGAGCAGCCATGTGACAAGGGGCCCTGCAGGTGCCAGCACTGGAGAGGGCACAGCTGGGCCCAGCAGAGGCAGGAGGGCTAAGAGGGGCCTGTCCCACCTTCCACTGGCATGGCCTCTGCTCTCTGATTTGATACCTCAGCTCTACCCAGATGCCCCTACCCAGCAGTGTCTACAGCTGTGGACCAGGGCAGATCCAAGCCCCCTGCCCCTGTGCCCAGCCCTGGTGTGAGATGGGATGGGCACCCAGGCAGTGGCTCCAGGCTGTCAGGCTCTAACACTGCTCTGCCTGGTGACTGTGCAAGTCCTGCCCCTCCCAGACCCCAGCCTCTCCACCTGAGCCTGAGATCTGCCCCAGCCTCCACCAGGTCCCAGCTGGGCTCAGGACCCTGTGCCAGGCAGTAGGGGCTGGGAGTGCCACAATACCACTCTCCCCTGAGCTCCACATGCCCACTGGCCATCACCTTGCCTCAGGCCTCACCCCATAGTATGAAAGGGTCCAGGCAGGCAGGCAGGGGGCACTCTGTGAGCTTTTAGCCCTAGCTCTGCACCAGGCAGATCTGGGCTCAGCTCCCGCCCCTTTACACATTAGCTGTTTGTCCTCAAGCAAGTCATTTAGCACTCGTGTGCGTTGATTATTGCATCTGGGGGATTGAGATCCTCTACCACCCCATGCAACCTGATCCTGGCCCCAAGTGAAAGCTCTGTAAGCAGCGGGAACATTGACATCGTTATTTCCTGGTTGCTGAGTAGAGTGTGGGGCCAGCAGCCTGGTAGAGGATGTTGTTGCCGAGTGGCTTAGGTCACCCAGGGGCCATTGGTGCCCTCGTAGTTAGAGAAGGGAGCTTGTGCCTGGCTAAGTTGGCAGCCATCAGACATGGCCAGGATGGCCCATTTCCCCTCTTCTGCCCCATTGCTCAGTGACACCCAGGAAGCTGTGTGTGCACCTGGTGTCTGTGCTTAGGTGTGTGTATATGTGTGTGCATGCCCGTGTCTGTGGGGACACATGACAGTCTCAGCTGCGCCTGTAAGATGAGATCCCTGCCCACATCTGGCTGTGCCCAGGACTGGGTGAGCTCAGGCTCCCAGAGCCCCCCCAAATCCTGGGCCTGCACGACACAACACCCACCACTGCTTCCCGCCATCTGTCCCAAGAGCCAGAAATAGAGTGTGTGACAAGTGGGGCGGAGTGGCAGCCTGTACTGAAGCTGTCCTTGAATGGGGTGGGAACAGGTCAGCCCCATATCTGAGTGACCGGCAAGTCCCAGGCTAACCCAGGCCCTGGTTTTGGGGTGGCCCACCTGGCAGGGAGTGGACTGAGGAGCTGAGCTCCCTCACCAATAGGTGAGGCCAGAATTTCCTACCTGGTGGGATAAGCTCTGTACACCCTAGCTGCACTCTCCAGACTACTGAGGAGCTCCTTGAAAACAGATGCCTGGACTTCTGTGAATCAAACCATGCAGTCCCCAGGCAGACTGCATCTGGGACTCTGAGTGCCCGGCTGGGTGACTACAGGCCTCTTCCTACTAGACATGGAGGCAGAAGCAATGCTGACTTGTCTGAAGTCGCCCCAACCCACCCCACTAGTGCATCCTGGTGGCCCTTGTGACACTGTCCATTGCTGTTCCCCAGCTGAGAGGGTTGCAGTTGCTTTGCATGTGCATTTGCTCACAGGACATGGGCAGGGGCTGGTGCAGCAACTAGGCCTTTTAAGACACTTGGTGGGACACCCAGTGCAGTAGTGGGGTTCAGTACAGGTGACTCGACCTCTCCCTAAGGCGGTGAAAACTGTCGGGATGGTAGGGTCCAGGGCAGGTGGAGGATGGGGCATGTCCCACTCCCTCCTCCATCTCTTGGGCACAGGTTTTTAGGTACTGGGCATCTCCCCACCCCGAGCAATGCATAACACCTGCCATGCTGACGCCTCACCCATCCAGCTGCCTCTGCCTGGCTCACCCTGCCTTCCTCTCCTAGACCTGGGCGCCTCCCAGTGCATCTTCCACATTCTACTGGGAACCTTCCTCAAGCAGCTCTGCCTGACCCCTTGCTGGGCCTTGGCTGGGAGAGAGTACCCAGAGACAAGGTGTGCCCTGGAGGAGGAGACCACCCAAACCATCCAGGTGGCAGGTCCAAGAGCCTAGATCCAGGCTGTGCAGAAGAAACATAATGTGAGGCACAGATGTCATTTAAAGCATTCCAGCAGGCACATTAAGGAAAGTCAAATTTGCCACATGTAGTGGTGCACACCTGTCATCTTAGGGCTCTGGGAGGCTGAGGCAGGACTGTTA